TTTGCCGGGAAAATTAGACGGTTTTTTTGCGTAAAGACCTTCAGACACTCTGAACACTGATGTGGTTTCTTTCCACTATGAACTCTCAGGTGCTGAATTAATTGTTTTTTTTGTGTGAAGGCCTTCAGACACTCTGAACACTGATGTGGTTTCTCTCCAGAATGAAGGCTCAAGTGATTTGTTAGAGATGCTTTTTCTGTAAAGGTCTTCAGACACTCTGAACACTGATATGGTTTCTCTCCAGTATGAACTCTCAGGTGTCTAATTAAATGTCCTTTCTCTGTAAAGGTCTTCAGACACTCTGAACACTGATATCGTTTCTCTCCAGAATGAATTCTCAGGTGCCTACTTAGATATTGTTTTTCTGTAAAAGACTTAGGACACTCTGAGCATTTAAATGGCTTCTCTCCAGTATGAGCTCTCAGGTGCTTAATTAGAGCTGCTTTTTCTGTAAAGGCCTTCAGACACTCTGAACACTGATATGGCTTCTCTCCAGCATGAATTCTCAGGTGCTTAGTTAGATGTGCCTTTTTTGTAAAAGCCTTCAAACACTCTGAACACTGATATGGTTTCTCTCCAGCATGAACTCTCAGATGATTAATTAGATATGCTTTTTCTGTAAAGGTCTTAAGACACTCTGAACACTGATATGGTTTCTCTCCAATATGAATTCTCAGGTGTTTTGTTAGAGATTTTTTTTCTGTAAAGCTCTTCTGACACACTGAACACTGATATGGGTTTTCTCCAGTATGATGTCTCAGGTGCTTAATTAGTTGTTGTTTTTGTGGAAATGCCTTCAGACACTCTGAACACTGATATGGTTTCTCTCCCGTATGAACTCTGAAGTGTTTTGTCAGAGAGAATTTTTCTTTAAAGGTCTTCAGACAATCTGAACACTGATATGGTTTCTCTCCAGTATGAACTCTAAAGTGATTTTTTAGAGATGATTTCTGTGCAAAGGTCTTCAGACACTCTGAACATTGATATGATTTCTCTCCAGTATGAACTCTAAAGTGATTTTTTAGAGACTGATTTGTGTGTAAAGGTCTTCAGACAGTCTGAACACTGATATGGTCTCTCTCCACTATGAACTCTCAGATGCTTATTTAGACCTTCTTTCCTTGTAAAGGCCTTCAGACACACTGAGCACTGATATGGTTTCTCTCCATTATGAAATATTAAGAGTGAGTTTAGTTGCAATTCTCCTGGAAAGTTTTTCATACAATCAAGATCCTGTTTATTTTCTGTTAGAGCAGTCATGATTATTTGAACATTTATGAAGAAACAATAAAGTTACATATAAGACTCATTTAGTGCTGCATAAAAGATGTGCAATGTACATATGGTGAAAAACATCAAAAGGAAAAAGATGGAACAAACTTTTATGTTCAAGTTTATACGAAAGATAAAATACTAAGAATCAAGAATAAAGACAATAATTGACCATTCTGTGGATACAAGTGGGATGCTCAGTATGAAGTTCTGGAAGCCAAAATGAAATAGAGGATAAACTATCTGAGGATATTTAGAAGATAAAAAATATCAGACAAGATAGTATCATGGGTCTTACAAGAATGTTCAAAGTAATGAAGATATCCTCCCTGAAAAATCTTAGAAACTTCACAAGGTTGTAAAACTGGTTAAGAAATACAAAATAGCACACATCAGTTTCATATTAAAATGGAAGTGGGGAGGATCTCTAAAAACAGCTTTGACTAAAATTGTATTATGTAATTGGTTGTATGGCAGCCAGACTTCAAATAAAAAAGCAAATTAAAAGAAAATTCAAAACTAGCTATAAAATGGCTCTAACTTCTATATAAATATATATTATGAAAGACTGAGAACATTAGACATACAATCTTTGGCTAATAGGAGGGACAGAGGATGTAAGATTACCGCAGGCAAGATTATAAAAGAACTGATAAGGAATATTTCCTGACGCATTAAATGATTAGGAATAATCTAAGGAAGAAGAGGTGCTGGAATGACACTATTAAGACATTCCTTACAAAGATTAGAACATTGAATGAATTACAAGAAGAGGTAGTAAGTGCTACATCTGGGAATTAAAAAACTAATGTTACAATAACTACTGAAGACACCATGAACTACAGCTCTGTTTTTGCATCTACAGATATGTAATTACAAAGAGTAATTCAGAAAGGAAAGCAAAGCAGAATCAGAATGCAGCAATAAAAATTACAACTGCTGGTAAACATGAAAGTAGGTGCAATTTTTTTTTTGAAGTCTACAAACTCAAATTCAATTAATCACATTCAATAAATTTCTTTATATAACACATACATCACATGCTTTATAATTTATATTTTAAAATTCAAATTGCACAAGTCAGTGTCCATATCTATGTATCTTAAAACAAATAATAAACTGTTGTAATAATCTGCAAGTTTTTATATCATTTAGACATTTTCTAGTGAAATGATCTCTTCAATATAATTAATCTTACATTCAGTAACAAACACTAAATTGGTATGAGTTACACAGCTTCTCCTATACAAGCTTTTAAAACTGTTGCATATGAAGATTTTGTTTCATATTTTTATACACAGAAAACTGATATTGTCTCCCTACAATGAAAGTCTCTGCTTCACAAAGTTTAAATTTACAAATATTTACTCTCACACACACATGTGATTTAGTTTAAATAAGTTCTAGTGTCACGCTTGCTTGCTGGGGCAAAGGAAGAATGTGACTCTTGTCTTTTCTGGGAATCTTGTGTAGAATTACTACCCAGTGTTTGATTTGTAACAACTGGTAGTTCATGTGACAGGTTACTAGTACACTACTGATACACTTTGTTCAGATGTAACAACTGGTAGTTCATGTGACAGGTTACTAGTACACTGCTGATATAATTGTTCAGATGTAGCAGCATAAAATAAGGGACACTTGACCTAGGTACTGAATCTCGGCAAGTAGTGAATGATACTGTCAGTGTTGTGTGCATTATGTCCCACACTGCTGAAATTATGTATCTGAAGTATTTCTGCCATTTACATTATCTTTTACATCAATAGTAAAAAGATGAGCTGCAAAACAAAACAACAAAAGATTAGTAAGTCTTGAATTTATTTTTTTTTTTTATCATCTCTGACCCATTACAAAACTTTTACTTCAGAGATAAATTTTGTGTTAAAGTACAAAAAAGAGGGAAGAACTTGAGCTATTATTAATGCAGATGTTCTATATTTCAGTTAAATTATTAATAGCAAACTCAATTTTGGTTAAATTATTACTAGCAAACTCAGCACTGACTTCTACAGGTATTGAGCATTCTGTGTGTACAGTAGAGGAAAATAATTATGGTAATATATTTTATCATGATATAATGTTTGTACAGAGATGGGTGACATTTAGTTGTGCCTGCAAGAAAGCCCATTAGCTATGCAAAGCATTTTGACTACAATGGCAATTAATGAATTAATTGCTCTCATAAAACATAAAAGTGAGAATTACAAGAACAAACAAGCAGTCAATTATTACTTAAGGTTGGATTATGATTACAGGCATTGAGAATCAAAACACAGCCTCTCCTCACTTAGAGATGTATGTACTCATTTACCGACCACTTGGACTTACAACCAGCTCTCCAACCAGTATGCAAACCTAAATATTTACAGTGGACCTCGGTTATCGGCGGTTCTGCTTATCAGCCAAATTGGTTATGGGGGTTTTTCGGCTTCCGGTTATCGGCCGTTATTTCGCTCATCAGCCGTATTAGGACGTGCCACCAGCCGGCCAAGACCCAGTTAGGAAGCAAGTGAGGAAGCTTCTGCTTATTCATCCATACATATCCATGTTTTGGTGATAATTCATTAAGTGCAACTGCAAAATAAGTAACAATGGCTCCCAAAGAAAATTCCTAGTAAAGTTCCTTTGGTAAAGAAAGTGAGAAGATGATGGAATTTAACCCTTTAAGGGTTGAGAGACCCTCTCCTAAACTCATTCTCAGGGTCGAAAAAATTTTGAAAAAAAAAAAAATTTTTTTCTTATGAAATGATACAGAATCTTTTTCCGATCATAATGACACCAAAAGAATGAAATTTGATGAAAACTTATGGGATTATTCTCTCGCAAAGTTAGCAGTCTCAAAGTGGGCGATTTTGCCCACTTTGAGCCCTATTTTTGGCCAATTCCAATGTTGCAGTTGACTAAAATCATAGCTATTTCCCTAGAACTCCACTTGTTCTATTGACTGAGTACAAAAATCTGCCCATTTATCGATTTCAACTATCTAATAAAGTGGTCAGAAATTGGCAATTTGGGCAATTTCACACAAATTTCAAAAGATGCCAATTTCAAAATAAGGTCCAGAATAAACAAGACAGACATTCATGGCACTAAAATAACATTTTATCTGTTCATTAGTCATGTCTCTAGGCACCTCTTGCATTACTTTTGCTTTCCGTTTTGAATTTTTATTCTCACAGAAAATAGAAAGTTTTCTGTTATGTATATTACTGCATCATTGTAAAAATGGTATATTATTATTATAATCAAAAAGAAGTGCTAAGCCACAAGGACTATACAGCGCTGCAGGGCAGGAAGGAAGCGAGGGCATCAGGTGGCAAAAGGGAGATGGATGAGTAATAGGTTACGGATAACAGCGGGGCAGTGGATGGTGAAAGGGTAAAGGGCAGCAAGAGACTGAACTAGAAAGGGCTGAGGGGAGTGCGAAAAGTATCATCAGAGTTTGTGGAGTAAATCAGTCGTTGTCAAGAAGTCAATGAGAGAGTCAGGATTAAAGGAGGGTCCATCAGCAAGAAGGGAAGGTAAAGAGAGAGTAGTAGAACGAAGACGACGTTGGAGGTAAATTTTGCGTGCTCGTTGATAGAGAGGGCAGTCTAACAGAATGTGGCTAATCGATACTGGAACTTGACACTGCTCACAGAGAGGAACAGGGTGCCTCTCCAAAGAGATACCCATGAGTAAGACGAGTGTGGCCAATGCGAAAGGGGGAGAGAGTGGCT